GGGGGACGGATTTGTTAGTCTGATTTCGCTCAATTCGTTTTTATTAGTCGATCATCCGTAGGGTATAGTAGTATGTAATTACCGTACGTGCTGGGGACATCGGACCCCCCAATTAACACCACCCCCCCAAAAAGGCTCCGCCGCAAAACCCACCTCGAAGGCTACCTCGAAGCGACCGCCAAACTTATCGTCTACCTGGTCGCCGCCCTGTCCGGCAACATGACCCAGTCGGGCTCCATGGTCATGATGGCGGTGCTGCTGGCCACCGCAGGGCTGCCAGCCGTGAGCAACGCCAAGGCGAAGAAGCTTGTTGTTAATGGAGCGCCGGTGGGCGTGGCGGCGGATGGTGAGGGGGGCAAGGCTGGGGGGGGTGGGACAGCTGCTGGTGGTGGGGGTGGGAATGGTGGTGCTGTTGCTTCGCAGAGTGGGGCGAGGCCGGCGCCGTTTGCGAGTGTAGCTGGGGGGAGGGTTGCGGAGGCTGGCCGGGGGCGGCCGAGGCAAGCTAATGGGGGCGCTACCGCGGCGGTTATGGATCCGAGAGAGGGGAGGCCGGCTCCTGGGCCGGGTGGGATGCGTAGAGGAGGGGGGAATCAGGAGGATTTGGCGGAACGGGGCCAGGCTGGACACGTTAGATTCAATAGGTGAGAAGTCATCCGTTAGGGGTTGTGTTTGCTGATAGAGATATATAGTCAGAGGTTGGGTTAAAGAGATTGGGAGTCCCTGAAGCACTTATTGTAAGTTAGATTACGTTGTATAGATTCTGCTCAGTGTCACTGCTTGATGTTTGTCATCTCTCCACCCATCTCTTGACGCATGCCATGTATCTTTTGCTGCAGTGACTGCTGGATGCCTGTCATCTGTTCACGTATCTCCCGACACATGTTACGTGTCTGCTGTAGTGAACGACGGAGTGCCAGTTTCTAGTTGTCGACGCTCGCCTTGGGCCATTGGCGGTCCTGGTCCTGAATCTGTGCCACATACCCCTGAGCGAGGTTTAGAAACCCTTGGCGGTGTTAAAAGCCCATGCCTTGGCCAGTCTTTGAGTGGCTCGTGGCGGGTAACATTTTCTTTGGAACGGTCCATGGCATGCTCCATGACATCGATTACATTACCGCTGGCGGCGGCGGTATCGCCATCAGCTGTATCTACGTCGGTATCAGCTCCATCGACGTCCACCATGCCTACTTCGGTAGAATCGATACTTCTTCTTAAGGGGCTGTGGCGGCTAGAGTCGCCCTTCCTCTAGCTTGGCGATGGGAGATAACCCGTGGCGATTTGAGTAACCTTTGTCGGGGACAACTGGATCAAGTCGTTGGTTTATCATATGTAATGTGGGTGTCGGAAATTGGATGAAATTCAAGGAGGTTGTCACCGTATAGTTCTGCGAATGATGAGGCAGTTCTGCCATGTTGCTCGGTTTTGTGATGCTGGGATTCAAGATCCAACCCTGCTCTGCCGATGGGCAAACCTTTTTCAGAGGATAAGTAACGGAGTTTGTATCTGCCGCCGTACCTTGAGATATGGGGCTCCCTTGAATGCCTCTCAAGCCGCAGGGGTCTCAATTTTGAAACGCTCTCTGGCGACTCACCGCATCAAAAGCTTGGGCTTTCTTTCCCTCTCACAAGTCACACGCTCTTATCAAAGACTCAAGCATAATTTCTCCTATTTTACCAACGTGGGTGGATTGGAACACTGATTGCACCCTCTCAGGCCTCGATATCCGAAAGACGCCCCGGTTCACGTGGTGAAAAATAAAGCCCAAGGTTTCACTTCTTATTATCAGTTCCTCGGCGAAGAATTGGTCTCTGCGTCTCGGCAGTAACCAGCCTCCAACTCCCACTCCCAAAGACACGCAGAACCCAGAAACGCAACACAAAAGACAAGTATATACAAACAAACTTCCCAATCCGACAACTGTACCCCGACCCCCATCAAACCCCCTCACAACCCTCCTCCGCGCACCGCACAACCTCACAAATGGCCCTCATCAACACCGGAATCCAGACCATCCACCCCCTCCACGCTCCCCTCCCCATTCTCCAAGATCACCCCCCAACCCGCATCCCCGCCCTCGCCCCCCTCCTTCCTCATCGTCGCAACCAGCATGCTGACGCACCTCCCCAGCCCCGCCAGAAGCGCCGCTCCACCCCCACCACCCTCCTGACAAACACCACCACCACCACCACCACGAAACCCATGACTCGTCCCACTCCTACTACTCCCACCCGTCCCGCTCCGGGCGCGCCCGCCGCCGACCGTCCCGCTGCGCGATAACCCGTACCCACCCCCACCACCACCACCACCACCACCACTACCAGCGGCGACAGGAGCCGAAGTCGCGAACAAGTCGTTCAGCGGGAATTTATCGCGGCGACCACGGCTCAGCACGCCGCGGCGCGACGGCGACGGCGACGGCGACGGTTTGCTGTAGGGTGCTGCTGCGGAGATGGGGTCGTCCATGCCGAGGAGGGTGGCGGCTTTGTGCGGGATGGAGAGAGTCGCGCCTGGTGGTGGTGGTGGTGGTGGTGGTGGTGGTGGAA